TGACATACATTTGTGAAGGGCTTAGTGTAACATGAACTATAAAGATACAATTTAGCTTTAGAAGGGTAATAAGAAGGCAGCAGAGGAAAAAGGATCCTGACCTTTCTCCAGCCTGTGGTCAGAAAGGTACTTTCATAGCAGGCTACTACTAGGTTTGCTTTGTCAGAAGAACTGGGATGAATTTGTAGCAGTGATATACTACCACTGCAGTTTGCCATGCAGTTCTCGCAGGATCTTTTTAGCATCACAGATGTTAGTATGGGAGTCTGTGTCCACCTAGCATTGAATCTCGGTTCAACTGCTGATGCCCTGAAACTTTGTGAAACGTGATCTTAGCTATGATTTATTTTCTGTAGCTTAGCCATCTGTTATTTTTACTGAGGTAAAAAATCAAGTTTTATTGCTAAAAATTTCTTACTGTTCTTTTTTTCAATACCCACAACACGTGGGATGTATTTGACTTGCAGTTCTGTATTGAACTGGGCTTGTTCTCGTATTTTCAGTGTGTACTTCCAGTTATAAGAGTAACCAGTGTTTGGAGTTAATTTCAAGCTTGTATCTGAAGCAGTAGAGCAGGATTATGTGCAAAATGCCTGAGCAGTGCTGTTTTTAAGCTAGGTCCTGTTCTCATCACTGTGATGTGACTCAGAATATGCCTACCATGGTCCATCTCTGGCTTGCGCAAGGCCCCAGTTGGCAATATTTAGCAGGGGAGATCCCAGTGTGATCTTGAACTTCAAGTGAGTAATTTAAACATTTTTCTCTGTGAAGGTAGCAAAGTGAGTTATTCTCTGAAGAATACTAAAGCCTGGGTGCCTTATGCTTCATATGAAGTACAGGGATTCTGTGTGAGCTTTCTTTGATAGTTCTGTAAGCTTTATGGCTTCATGAGGTAATTCTTTTGTTTAAGTTTCCTTATGAGCTGTGGTGCACCAATCTAGTACAAAGAAAGTAATTTAGGTTCTTACTAGAAAACTGGTTTCTTTGTGCTTGATGTTTGGAGTTCTTAATAGGCAGTAGCATGCAAATGTTAGAGAGCTGCAAAGTCACCTTTCTTATACATAAAAATTTGCTATGCTTGCTGCCAAAGCTGTGCTTATGTGTGGGGACTGCTCTGTAAGTTCCATGGGAGCTGAGCAGATGATGTTGATTCCTTACTGGAAGTTACTGGTGAACCTCTTCTGAAATCTTTCCATGCTGAGCAGTATCAGTTCCAATCTGAGATGGATACCCCAAACCTAGAGTTTATTCAGTAGCTGGCCTGTTACTAGTCTTTTCAAAATCCATTGTCCACAAGATGCGAAGTTTACTTAGTTCATCTTACATTTGAGTAATGTTTGACTTCAGTCAGCTCCAGGCCTTTACTGACTGGGTGATTCACTACCTGTCTCAATCTATCAGTGCTTTTCCCCATCCATTTCCCAACTGTCCTGATAACTATTTCAGTTTCTAGCTGGCATCAGAGGTTAGCACATGTGCTTTAGCCTCTTTCTGCTGTGTTGAAGTTAGTTTGCAGACCAAGAGGTGTTATGCCTCTGCATAATAAAGGCTCCAGAAATGAGATGCATCACTTTTTCTGCTGTTTGTCTCTTTATTTAAAAAACTAAATAATCCGTGAGCTGTTAACCTGTTGAATAATAAGCAGTTTTTCTTAGCAGCTGCTTGTCTTTAACTTCATCGACAACCTTGATGAGGGGGTTATGTCCACCCTCAGCAAGTACGCAGATGATACAAAGCTGGGAGGAATGGCTGACACGCCTGAAGGCTGTGCTGCCATTCAGCAAGACCTGGATGGACTGGAGAGCTGGGCAGCAATAAACCAGATGGGGTTTAACAAAAGCAGGTGTAAAGTCTTGCACCTGGGAAGGAATAACCACAAGTATCGGTACAGGTTGGGGCATGACTTCCTGGAGAGGAGCTCTGTGTAGAAGGACCTGGGAGTCCTGGTGGGTGACATGTTGGCCGTGAGCCAGCAGTGTGCCTTGGTGGCCAAGAATGCCAGTGGGATCCTGGGGTGCATTGAAAGGAACATGACCAGCAGGTCAAGGGAGGTGATCCTTCCCCTCTGCTCTGCCGTGGTCAGGCCTTACCTGAAGTACTGTGGCCAGTTTTGGGCTCCCTGATACAAAAAAGATGGGGATTCCCTGGAGAGCGTCCAGTTGGGGGCCACAAAGATGATAAAATGCCTGGAGCATCTCTCCATTGAAGAAAGGCTGAGTGACCTGGGTCTGTTCAGCCTTGAGAAAAGAAGACCTGGAGGTGATCTTATTAATGCTCATAATGTCTTGAGTGTAGGAGTCCAAGAGACATGGCCAACCTCTATTCAACAGTCTGTGGGGACAGGACAAGGGAAAATGGCCATAAACTGGAACATGTGAAGTTCTGTACCAATATGCAAAGGAACTTCTTCACAGTGAGAGTGGTGGAGTACTGGAAGAGGCTGCCCAGGGAGTTTATAGATTCTTCTTTCTCTGGAGATATTCAAGACTTGCCTGGACATCTATCTGTCCCTTTTGTAGGGGGGCTGCTTTGCAAGAGAGGTTGGACTCGGTGATATCTAAAGGTCCATTCCAATCCCTACAGTTCTGTGTTTCTGCGTTCTCTGCGACATAACATTCAGTACTTGGCTGAATCAGAGTTGCAAAATCTAGGAAAAAATATTATTTTTTCACTACTTATTATGTAGTAGATGCCTTGTTTTATGCCTGTTAGTATTCTTCCAAACCTTGAGAATCACAGTCAGATGGGAGCTCATATATTACAGGTCATCTCCACTAAGTGGGACAACAGAGGTGATGCCCTCTGAAGCTGACAGTTGGTTCCTTATTCAGATACTCTTGTGTCTGAACTGAGGTGCTTCTGGAAGAACAAATTTAATCATGTAAGAAATCCATCACACCTCTAATCTGACATCCTGTCACTTTAATGGATGTTCAGTGATGATTCCTCACTGACAACTAGGGATGTACAAATCTAGTCCTTACTAATTTAGACGATGCTTTATTATATAGCTTTGTGCAAACGTTAAAACTTAGAGTATTATGTGATATTTGATTTTTGCACTATACGATTTCATTACTGTCAGCATGCCAGTGTAAGCAAAGTTCATAGCATCAGATGTGCTCAGTCTGTTTTGCATGGAGGCATACTGATTGGTACTAAATTTGGATCTGAGGATGCTGGTGCACAGCCAGCTGAATGTGAGCCAGCACTGTGCCCAGGTGGACAAGAAAGCCAATGGAATCCTGGCAGAAATACCTTGGCCAGCAGGACCAGGGAGGGGATTGTGCCCTTGTATGTGACACTTGTGAGACCATATCTTGAATTTGTGTTCAGTTTTGGGCCTCTCACTAAAAGGAGAATGTGGAGCTGCTCGATCGTATACAGTGTGGTGAAAAGACTGGAGAACAAGAACTAGGAGAAGCAGCAGAAGCTGCTTAGTTTGAAGAAAAGGAGTCTGAGGTGAGAGCTCGTTGTTCTCTACAGCTACCTGAAAGAAGGCTGCAGTGAAGAGGGTATCTGGATGTGAGGAAATGGCCACAAATTCTTCCCAGAATCCAGTTTAACTCCCTCCTTCACGGAGAAAGTGCTCAAGCGTTGGAATGGGCTTCCCAGGGAAGTGATGGAGTCCCCATACCTGGAGGTATTTAAGAGGCATGTGAATGTGACACTAAGGGACATGAGTTAGCGATGGGACTCCATGGGTCAGATTGTTTGTGGAACTTGGTGATCTTGAAGGTCTGTTTCAACTTAAATGAGTCCATAATTTTGTGAAAAATATGGGAATCCAATTAGTAGATTCCTGTACTAGCATCTTTTTGTCTGTTATTTGGTACTGATCTAACAGAGTTAGAGCTTTCCTAGTTGTTTCCCTTCTGCCTGATGGCTCTAAACGTCTGTCCTCTGCCTTCCTTAGCATAAGAGTCCTGGAAAGACTGCGTGTGTTTATAATCAGCTTTCACTCATTTTTTCACTCAGGACAAACTATCTGAGCATCAGCATGCCTTTCTTAACAGTATGAAGTGCTCATGATGATAAATGCAATATTCTGTCTGAAAAGATGTAAAGAGCTGATCAGTTTGTGATTTTTCTTATAATTCTATTAGTTGGAAGCTTCCAGGTGTGTGTATAACAATCAATTAATGCTTTTGGAAAAGCTTTTTTTAAAAATCCCTGCCTTTGCTGCTGTTGTGGTTTTTTACTGTTTTCATATTTATTTATATAGTGTAGTCATTGTAATGAGTTTGGACTTGTACTGATTGTTAATAGCTCAATGAACTTAATTAACTTTCAGTCAGAATCATCTTAATTGGTGTTACTGACTACAGGAAAGTCTGGTTTCAGGTAGAAACTTCTGTGTTGTTAAATGTTAGCATTCATCTATTTGGTTTTTATATCGTTTTCCTCTTCTGTCAGGAACGGAGCTTTTTGAAGGTGTATTGTTGTTGGGTCTTTTGTTTTGATACCTGTTAACAACATGCACTGTGTTCGGCCCTGACCTGTACATAATCAGCGTTTTCCAGTTTTGTTGTTAGTTGCTTTGTCTCAAAATAGGAATTTAGCAGTCTACTGTCATGGGGAGGGGAAAAAAATATTGGTAAGGTTATCCAGTTAGGGTAAGTGGAATTCAGGGGAATCTAAATGTGTTTTTTCTATTGTAGCTTTGACCTTCTAGTTATTAAATTTGTTACAGTATGTGTTCTTTCAAATTACCTATCACCAGCAGCCTGTTTTCCTAGAAGCAAGTTCTTGATTCAGTGATTGTGTTCCCTGTTTATATGCCTTGAGATTGAAAGTTGCATTAAAAGACAAGAATGCAGAATTGTTCTAAAGTCAAAGTGGCATATGAGTCCAGAACCATAGTTAAGAAGTAGATTCTGAAGAAGGGTGCAATGTCTGAAACAGATGTGTGTTTACTTTTGTAGGGCTGCATAGCATTACACTGAAGACTTTAGGTGCAAAAGAATGTATTTTTATAATCTGTTCTTCTTTTGAAACAGAGTGGAGGCCAAGAACAGAGTGCAGCACTGGCTGTAGGTAAGAACTGAAACTTAACCTGCTTGAAAACTCTCCTGAATTAAAACTGTGTAATATGGGCAGGAAAATGAACCATGCTGAATACCAGCAGTTTTCTCTTCAAGTACTTATTTTCTCCAAGTTGTAAAAGCTACTTCTGCAGAATTGTTATGTTTATTTTGACAACTTTGATCTGTAGGCCAGTGTAGAATCATAGACTCACCAAGGTTGGAAAAGACATATAAGATCATCCAGTCCAACTGTCCATCTATCACCAGTATTTCCCACTGAACCATGTTCCTCAGTACAACATCTAAACATTTCTTTAACGTTCCACCACCTCTCTGGGCAGCCCATTCCAGCACCTGAGCACTCTCTCAGAGAAGTATTTTCTGACATCCAACCTGAATCTCCCCTGCCACAGGTTGTGGCCATTCCCTCTAGTCCTATTGCTGGTTATGTGGGAGGATGACTCCCACCTCACCACAGCCTCCCTTCAGGTAGTTGTGGAGAGCTACAAGGTCACCCCTGAGCCTTCTCCAGACTGAACAATCCTGGCTCTCTCAGCCATCCTCACATGTCTTGTGCTCCACAGCCCTCACAGCCTTATTGCCCGTCTCTGAATACATTCTGGGGCCTCAGTGCCAGGGTCTCTTTCTTATAGTGAGAAGCCCAAAAGTGAACACAGTACTCGAGGTGTGGTTTCACCTGGGCTGAGTTCTGAGGGACAGTCACCTCCCTGCTCCTGCTGGGTGCACTTTTTCTGTTACAAGCCAGGATGTCATCGATCTTCTTGGTCACCTGGGCACACTGCTGAACTGCTGGCTCATGTTTGGCCTAGCACTGACCAGTAGTACCCTCAGGTCTGTTTCCTCTGCATAGTGTTCCAGCCACTCTGCCCCAGCCTGAAGTGTTCCCTGGGTTGTCGTGGCCGTATATCTCTCTCTGTGGTTAAAGATGCAGTCTGCCCAGGGGAGCTGTGGATGCCCCATCTCTGTAGGCAATCAAGGCCACGTTGGTTGGGGGACCCAGACAGCCTGGTCTGCTGGAAGGTGTCCCTGCTTATGGCAGAGAAGTTGGAACTGGATGATCTTCAAGATCCATTCCAACACAAGCCATTCTGTTATTTAAAACTTATCTTAGAAGATCGTGTTTAAAGTTCTTGGAAATTTGAATGCAGAAATAATGTGGCTTTTTTTTTTTTTTTTTTTTTTTTTTTACCAATACTGATTTTGTATCTGTATTAATGTTACTATTTAACTTCAAATCTTTCCTGAACCATGTGCCTTGAACCAGAAACCAAGGCCCTGAGAAGGTTTGAAAGTCTGAAGTGGTGGCAAATGCTCATGTGAAGTTTTTTCCCTTACGTAGTTTTATTATTTCTGCTTACCTAAGCTACTTCATGGAGTTTGTATTATATTTCATGTTTATTGTGCTGTGCAAGCATAGCTATCTTTCATCTGTCACATTGGAAAGGTAATGCTCCCAAATGTGAAGTAGTATTTATTTACCTTACACTTCTGATGAATCGGTAAAAAGCTCACTGAATTCTGAGGAGATGATTAAATTGATTTGTCATTTTTGTTGACATGTCAGTTTTGTTGACAGTGGTGGAAAACATCGTGGAGTTCCATGTCTAAAACTTTTAATAACCCATTTAGAAATGAAGAATATAAGCTATTATAGATGTCACTAAAATAATTGCCCTTGGTTTTCATACCTGATGTATATATTGAAATAATTGTTTTCCAAAATCACTGATTTTTGTTGAGATTTTTATGAAATTTTTTGTTGTAGCTCTTAGGAGAGCTCATCGTGATGCTACATCAGAAAAACAGTCCCTCAAGCCTACTGTCTTGCCTCTTTGGAGTTGTGAGTCAAGGATTGGGGCAGGCATACGGTAATACTTTCCCAGTTCTGAAAAAACATTTAGTGCTAGCAGTAGTAGCAGGTTCATTCAGTAGCATTTACAGCCAAAGTCATGGGTAAGTATGTTAGCAAAGTTACAGTTTCAACTAGTGCAAACCTTTAGAGTATGTGTGTGTTTGCAATGGGTACTATCTTGCCAAGTATGCCTTCTTCAGGAATCACCCTTTTACTTCCCTCTGGGTGTGTGCTCTTGCTTTTGCTCATTTTTTCACACTCACTTATTACTCTGCTGGGATTGTGCTTCAGCTGCTCAGGAAGGTGAGCATCTCGCAGAGCTCAAGGGCAATGCTGAAAATGGTACTGCCTTCAGGAGGAAGGCTGTCCAGAGAACAGCTACATCATATGGCAAGAAATTTCTTTTTCCTTTGAACCATCAATATTTCTGGTGTTGAAGGGAAATACCTTACAGGTGGAGATGTTGTTGGCCACATCAGCAGCCCTAAACAGCTCTCTGTCCATTGTTTTAACCTATTCCAGCTGTGCTGAGACAAAACAGCTGCCATGTTTGACAGCATCTTAAACCAGCTGGGAATCAGCAGAGTAAGAGATTTGAAGGGACTGGCAGAAGCCCTACCCAAGCAAGACTTTCAGTGGGAAAACACCATTATGATAACAATGGTAAAGTTCTGGAAATTGTGGAAAGCCTCAAAGAATGAGAGCAGGTGGCTCTTTCTGAATAAGGTTAAAAGTTGAAGCTGAAAATCTAGTAAAACTTGAACCCTTAATGTAACCAGATGTCTAGGAAAGCAGAAATGAGAAGAAAATGTATTTGTGATGGTTCTAATGTATTATTTTCAAGTCAGATGTAATTATTAACTATATTCAGTTTTCTAATGTTTGTCAGTTCAAGATATGTCCCTGTTTTCCCCTAAAATTGCTGCAGGCTTGTAGTACCCTTTCCATGCAAATCGACCTGCATAGGAAGAGTCATCAGCTTGTTATTTATTCTTTAGCCTAATTTCTTTTAGTTCTGTTCAGTGAAACTGGCACACGTTAAAAGCCTGCATTTTACATCTTTGTGTTCTCCATATCTCCAGTGATTGTGTAGTTCTGTATTTTTCTCAATTCTGAATATTTCTTTTTCAGGTGAGAAGTGAAAGACAGCCAAACTGTTTCTTGTGTTGAAGTCATATCATAGTTTCAATCATCAATGTACTCCTTCATTAACTTTTTTCCTGTTCTTCCGTATCCTTAAGGAGCTTTAGGGACCTGAATTTCCTTAAATGTGTTGCTGATTAATGAGTTTCCTTATTTTTGAACATGTAGTTGGTGTTTCTTTTAGCTGCTCATGAGCCCAATTATATGCAAACCTTATCTAAATTGAACATGACTCCAAGGTCTCATTCCAGAACTGTAATAGCTAGCTTGGAGCTGATAATCTTAAGCATGAAACTAAGGTTGTTTTTCCCTCGATACATCACTTCACACTTCCACAGTTAGGTTTTATTGTCAAGTGGCACTAGCCTTGTGAGGTTCTTTTCTATTTTGCCTGCTGGTTATTTTCCTGCTGCTCTGATCCTTCTTAGTTTGTCTGCCAATACATTGGATGGCATTCCTGCAGACCTCCACTGACTCCTCTCCGTTGTGGGAACTGATCACTTATTCCTTTTCTTTGTTCATTCAAACTGTTTATTCAAAGATCTTCTTTCTCATTCCAGTTTATCTTCATTTGCTTTAAAAGCTGTCTTTTGAGTAATTCAAACAAAATGGCAATCCAGATGGTTTATTTGTGTTGGATTACTGACTGGTTCAATGAATTGTACTTTGATAGCTTTCCTTGTAGTCATATCACCAGAACAGATCTTGTTGTAATCTGTTGTCCTTCCCTGAAAGGTTAAATTATTTCTGCATTCTCATAGCTAAACCAAGGAGGGCCTTCTCTGAAGTACCTACTGATTTTGAGACTTCAGTTCCCTTTCAGTCAGACAGGTAGATCAGAGCAAATGTTTTTGTGGTGCAAGGTGGTACGAGCTTGAAGAATTCACTGATGAACTGGTGCAGGAATCAGATCAGTACGTAGAATTCTGCATATCTGTACTGATCTTACTGGATTGCCAGTTGTACAATATCACCAGAAAATAGCAGACATATGTCTGCAGACAATGCCAAGAGGTGATTGGAGAGTGCAGTGAAAAAGTACAGCTAGAAGAATCTAGACCAAATATGATCTATATCTTCACACTTGCTTTCTAATAAGGGAAAAAGTCCTGATGTGTTTCAATAGCCTTCCATATTGGTCAAACGTATTTTGTCTGACTGATGTCCTGGAAAAAGAAAGCTCTATAGGCTGATCAGAAAGCTTTCCTGAAATGTCTTTCCAGTTATGTGATTTGGAAGGCCAGAGGGATTCTTCCTCCTCGGGAGCCCAGAGCAAGTGTCACTGAAATGAGTTATCAAATTGACAGTCAGCACTGGCTCCATACACACAAGATTTGCATTTCAATACTGACATGCCCAAGAAATCTTTTTCAGATAGAATATATAAAAGAATATTTATATCCATCAGCTTGATGCCTAGGTAATATCATAACATTGTTAGTGTAAGAGATGTGAGCCAAGGCACTAAAGGGGTTCTGTGCAGTAGTTCAGAGTCAAGCTCAAGCAGAATGTTTAATTGGAACTTCAAGAGCAGTGCAGCTGAGTGCACTCCTTGCAGTAGCACATTAGATGGCAGTAGTGGCCAGGTTCTTTGATAGAGCCTCAAGGGAAATCATCCAGCTTGGTTACTGCAGTCTATGGCAGTCTGATTAACATAGATGGGAATTTAGTCACTTTGAAAGAAAACATGTTTCCCAATTAAGAGCAGGATCACAGCAGAGTGTGTTTTCACAAGTGCAACACTAAAATGTGGTGAATCAATTCTTTTGGACTTTGAAGTTAGAGATGGAAAATATCTTAAGTGTCCAGGAAAAAAGAGTAAGGTTTACAGATTTGGTGTTTCTGTACTGCTTTTTTTTTTTTTTCTTTCTCTTTACACTCAGATGAAAATCTGGCAGGAAAAGGACTAAAACACGAATGTGTTTTAGTTGTGTGGGGTCTTTGCTTTTTTTTTTGGGGGGGAAGGAGGGAGAGAGGATGAAGGAAGGAGTTTGGTAGCTCTTGAACTACATTAGCTAAAGGATGGTAGCCTTGGAATATTAAACTTAGTAATATGGCAGTATAGCACAGTTTTAATACCATCTTATGTACAATAAACTTCCTTGTAAATTAAGTTTGTAAATTTTACTGGTCTCTCCTTGAATGTGGATTTTTTGTTTTTTCTTCTTTATGTACCTTTCACATTCTTTTTGATAAGAAAGCTGAGATTTAAACAAACAAACAAACTTGGACATCAGCCAATTGGGCTGTAGCAGTCCCAACTGGTTAAGTGCAGTATTTGGGCTGGAAGGGAATTGCTGGCTGCTTGACATGAAAGCAGAGATGGTATGTGCGCATTTGTTAGGAGCTTCCCTTCATCTGGCAGATCATATTGTATGGCAGCGACCTCTGTTGGAGGAGTTGCAGCTCTGCAAAAGACTTCTAAGATTGCAAAGCAGAGCGTAAATTGTGCGCAAGTGTAAATAGCTGTAAAGAAAGTCTTTTTTCTTTCTAACAATTATAAAATAAATTAAATGTGGCGTTTCTCAGAATTAAGTTTGAAAGCAGACTGATTTACATTGAAAATATTAGATATTAGGAGGAAGTTTTTCACACAGAGAGTGGTGAGGCACTGGAACAGGTTGCCCAGGGAGGCTGTGGATGCCCCATCCCCGGAGGCATTCAAGGCCAGGCTGGATGTGGCTCTGTGCAGCCTGGTCTGCTGGTTGGTGACCCTGCACACAGCAGGGGGTTGAAACGAGATGACCATTGTGGCCCTTTTCAACCCAGGCCATTCTATGATTCTATGAGGAAAAAGGAAAACACATCTAATGATAATGATGATTTATTTATTTTTTTTACCTCTAGCCTTTCTCTTGGAAGATTTGCTCAGTTACCAAAGAGTAAACCAGGGCAGATTTTCCAGAGCCAGGTCACTCCCCTTTTCAGTCCAGTTTGCTTTTAAAATAAGAATAATATTTTGAAGCAAATTAGGTCTGACTGCGAAATTTTATGACATGTTTACCTGATGTGAGCTATGATAAAATAACGAAGTTATTCAGTGTCAGCTGTGCTGCTAGAATTTTCCTGAATTAACAAGACTTTAAGGGTGATTTTTCTAAAGTAACTGCAGAGTCTTCAGTGCCTTTCCCTTAATTTCCTCCAAGTGGAAAAATGGACTGAATAAACACTGACCTGACCGTATTTTACAATTCTGGTTTCAAGGAATGTGAGCCTTTTTTACTAGACTGTTTTCCCTGGCAGGGCTCTGTTTTCCTGATATGACAGATTTTTAACTCATTTTTGTTCAGAAAAAAAGGTTTTATTGATGATGTGTGATCTTCAAAAAGTAGCCTCGTTTTTAGCTGAAGTAGTTAATTGTACCAAAGTCAGCTTAGCCTAAAAACCTGAAGTCAGAGGCAGCCCTGGACACCTTTTTAGTTGTGCTTTTATTGAATAGCCTGAATACTTACTTTCCATACGAAATAAATAAATAAATAAATACAATTCTGTTTGTTAGTACAAATTTTTTAATGGTTATTCAAACCCCAGAAATTCAGTGGTGTATGTTTTTTCCTTTTCAGTTTCTTAGAGGGAAAAAAATTGGCTTATTTCACTGGTGAGTGATATGTTAAGGGATCTCCACTAGAGGTCAGGAGTGAAAAGCAGTACATGGATCTTTGCTGCTCTCTTCTCTCTTAGGCAACAGTTTGTATAAAACTAATGAATGCTCTCTAGTTAGATTGTCTAGTGGTGAATGAAATAGCTTGTTCTGTGTAGAATTGGTGACTGGAGTGGCACTTTCCATATGTTTGATTCAACAGTGAGAATCAGATGTCAGGATCAAACTGATACATCGGATATTAATAACATTAATATAGCTATGAGGAATCTTGAATATGAAACCATCTTCAAAATCTAGCTCATTCCAAATTAATAGTACCAGACTTCTGAATCTAAACCTGGTAGTTTTCCCTTTCTTGTTTTTTGTTGTATTTTTTTTTTTCCAGACTGAGTGATAATGAGTGTTACTTCATTAATTGTTTACTGTCTGGACAATGTCATTTTGGGGCTTCGTTTAAAGCCAGGTTTTCTAATTATTTTAAGCACTCTGATCACTAGCTGTAGTGGGGATTAGATTGTGTCAGAAGGTATCAGTACTTCCCTGGCACTAGTCAGAAAAGAAAGAAATCTGCACTAGATTTGGAACCAAGGGAAATATGCAGACTTTCTGAAAAGAGCAATACTTTTGAAGTAGTACACAAGTCTGTTTCCAGCTCTGCAGCCTTTGCTGGCTTTTAAGGCTGAGGGCAGATGTATTCTCGCTGACTGCAAGGCTTAACTGCTTCATTGGAGTAGAAAATAACACTTGATCCAATGGGCCATCCGCTTTGCAATCTCATGTGTTGTTGCTGAGGGCTTCCTTTAATTCCACTATTGTGGGCAACCACTTATTTGCTGGCTTTTTCCTGTTACTGCCCAGATTCTGTAGGCAGGGAATGTTCAGTAAACCTTGAAGCAATTGCTGGGCTAATGGGATTATTATTCTGGAGGAACACTACAGAGAGACATCCAGTTAGGTTTTAGTTTGAGGTAGCATTAAGTTTATAGCCTCATTTATAGCACTTAGTGTCACGTTGTGATGTTATATTTTTCACGCTGTGCCTTTCACTTAAAATTTTACCAAAAATCTTCCTAGATGAGAGTTCTGTACCACGTACATCCAGTTTGAAAATCCTGTATCTGTGTAAGAAAATGGTTGCGCTTAGTGTTCTTTGCATATGATGTTGTGCTTAACTTCTTCTGAGCTCCAGAGCATGGATACAAGGTTTAACAGCATACAGTTTTGGTGCTCTGAGTGTTTAATTGTAAATTTCATTAGAACAAATAATGGGAATAGTGTGAGCTTTTTCAAAAGCAGAGCAGGTATTTTCTTGTAGCAGACATTCCTTGGTGATACAAATGTGTTTTTTCTAATGTTTAACTTCTTATTAGTTTGGAAGCATGCTGTCTGTCTAACAGAAAACAAAGCAAAATCCAAAATGTCACGTGATCATCTTTCTAGTATTTTACATCTAACAGTCAGTTAGTTTTCCAGTTGTTCACCAGTTGTAGACAAGATCTTTGTTAATGTATACTTTTTCTTTCAGGTGAGAGGGGGAAATGTCTTCGATGCTTGCCTGAATTAAGTTGCATTGTGGATTTCTATTAAATTTCCCCTGGGCTTAGATTAGGGAAAAAAAATATTGAAACGTGTCAGAGATGTTTTCAGCATGAAGGGCATGCGTGCAAGACTTGTTTTGAAAATATGCCTTTGCTTTCCGCCTGTCTGATCATGACACTACACTCAAAATCATACAACCCCACAAGGCTGTAATGGGCCAAATCATTGTAATCAAATGTGGCATTCCGTATGTCTTACTCTGTGCAAGTAGGTCAAGTTTAACCCATGTTCTTGGCTAGTGCTCTGATTTCCCACAACCTGCTCCACGTGGCTCATGCGTTGTGCTGGCGCACACAGCGTGCCAGGCGGGTCCTGGGCAGCTTCACAGGGATGCTCAGCTTCTGGACCCAAAAGAGGAATGTAGTTTTCTTTTCGATTTTATGGTAATGGAAACTTCAGTTGTCTGATCTGCTGAATCTTACACTGCTGATTTTCTTAATGAGTTAGGAAACATTTGACCAGTGTGCTTCAGAAAGTTAATAAAGACCCCTGAGGGGAAAAAAAGATGCTGGTTTATAACCAAACTGTGTTCTGAATGAGAGTAACAAAACTTGACTCAGCTTGAAAGTCTGATGAAGAACAGCTTCACAATAGTGATGTAAGCTGCACTTTGGACTGGACTTTTTGATGTTATGGTTTCAATGAGCAGATTTCCTTCTTGATAATGTAATAGTGGATTTTGTTCCAGTGATGCTGGAATGATTGTGGGTCAGAAAGTGTTAACGCCCACAAAAATCACCTCCAGTTCTAAGTCAGCTGTTAGGCATTGCAGCAAAGCCAAACTGTGGGATAGAAAGTGCAGTCAGTAGTAGTGCCTGCTATTGGCTTTTGCCTCTATATAGACTTCAGACTGCTTGAGTATGCTTAATGCACAAGAGAGGTCTGTTAAGAACTTTATTACTAAGACATTTATGTACAGCTTTACATCCCTTTGTATTCTTCCAGCATGTCGTCTTGTTGCTGTCACAGTTTAATTTACTCTCACTTTCAATTGCTCTCCTGTTCTGAGAGAAATGTTTCACTGAGCTGTTGCCGTCAGGTAGATCAGTTACATCTTTTTGCTTCAATCTGTTTTATATCTCTTGTTTCACAGTAGGGTTTGGTGTCTTGGTTAACCTTGTTCCTAGAGAAGAAATGATATCTCAACATAAGCAAACTTTTCTGGGAGATGAAGGTCAGAATGAAAGTACTTGTCTGGCAAAGCTGAGACCCTGACCCCTTACCTCCATTTTAGGAACTGGTAGGGAATCAATTAAACGGACTGTTCTGCACTAGCTATGTGCTTTTCTGTAACCTCACTAACCTTCCCCATCTGACATTCAGAAGTAATGTTACCCAGTGTTTAAACCCTGTGTATGACCCTTTAAACTGTTGTGAGACTGGTCAATATCAAAATAAAGGCAGAACTACACAGAGGAACTCCTATGAGGTATTGAAAATATTTTTGTGAATGTGCAGATGTTGCAGCTAATAAACTGGAATGTGCCAATGCTTTGTAATTTTAGGTGTAGCTGAAGTTCTCCATAGGCTCTTAATACCCTTTACTTTTATTTGCTACTTTTCTGTTAACATTGGAATTGTGATGCTTAAGGCACTGTTTGAGATTTGGCTCTTGAGTCTGAATCTACAGGCTCAGCTGGTATTAGGCAACTTGTACTTCTGCTGTTGTAGTGCCCTTGTTGAAAGTGTTAAAGAATGTCTTTATTTTAGCATTTTCTAGTTTTATGAATGTCCTTGTTGAGGTGAGGGCCAAAGGACTCTTTCAGTCCTTTATTTCAGAATATGCTTGTGAGATAGAGAAAAAAAAAAAGATTCTCTGCTTTCTGGCACTGCTTGTTTATGCACTGTTGGCACAGAGCTCTGGAATAGAAAGCTGTAGAAAAGCACTTGTTTTGGTAATTTATTTTTAAGATGAGTCTCAACTGAACATCCTAACCTGAAACTTCTTTAAATAAAGGCTGAGATCTGATCAGACTTCTGGATGAAGTTAAGTAATTTGAAAACAGGACTTTGCTTTTCTGACATTTCAAGGGAGAAGTTGAATGCACAAAAAGGAGCACATGCAGTGATGAACTTCTATAAGCAGAAACCGCTGTAATCAAAGCTGCTTTTCTACAAATCTAGATTTGTACCTGTTGCTTGGTCATTCTGCAGAAGTTGTTAGATTATGTTACTAATGTTACTAATTTAGCCCTGAGTAATTTTCAGGAATTTACTGGGGTTGATTCACTGTTGATTCTCTAGCTTTTGGATCCTAAAAAATCAATCACTTTCTGATGGTTTGGTATTTCTTCTACACCAGTTGCGTTTTCTTAAGGAACTCAAGAAATCTGGCAGCACGAGTTGTAAAGCTTTGGTCTGCCAAATATTTTGTTTAGGTATCACATCGCCTTTTTTTTTAATTCGTCATAAATTCACAATTCTTACACATTGCTTCCCTCCAAGTAACCATCGCTTTCAAAGCAGAAGACAAAGACACTGGTCAACTGACATAATTAGACTAATTTGAAGCTTGATTTTTAGATCTTATGCTGGAGTCCAAATGTTTGACTGATGGCTTATTCTTAAAAGATTTTGAATCAGTAATACCTTGAGTTTGCCTTGCAGCAGTACCTCGCTGAATTCCTGATATTTCAGGGTTCTGATTTTAAGTATTTTTAGCTTCTGTGAGACACTGAAGAGTCATTGAAAAGGCTGCCTCTTCATGAAGTGTTATTTTCATTGTCCTACTGAAGGTATTTATTTACTTTGGAAACTTACTCATGTTTGAAAATGTCTTATCTGACCTAGTTTAATTTTGGACAGTGTAATTTTCCTTCTACTTCTCATTTCTTTTTAGCTGCAGTGTGACAGCAAACATAAATAAGAACAACTGTTGCAACTTGATTCTCTTTTTTTTTTTCTTTTTTGAAAGCATTCAACTTGTATTGGACTTGTAATTTTACCTCATTTGATGGGAAGAACTGTTTGTTGGCCACTGATAACTACTACTGAGACACTTCCCAAGTTTTGTTTTGAGTGATGGGGAAAGAGTCAAAATCAGGCTTAAAACAGCTCTAGTCTTTTTGAGGTCACTGTTCTCCTAAGTACCAATGGCCTTATTGGCTGTAGGTTGCAGCAAAACAATCATAGGTAGCATAATTCTTAAGCTAGGAAGGAGATGACAATTCAGAACTTCATTTTTGCCAAAACTGTTACTTTTCATACTTTCGATAATCAATGAGAAGAAGAGAAGAAATGCACTGTATAGTGCACATCCACTACTTCCCACCAGAAGGTGATGGATCTGCAGTGTGCAAACCTGGATGGAAGCCCTGCTCCAGCTAACCCAGGCGTGTACTGAAAATAGGAAATGGTTATTGGAACTAAATTATTTTGCCATTTTTATTTTTAGGTTTGCTGGCATGGGTAATCTCATTAAGGTGCTAACCAGGGACATAGACCACAATGCAGCACATTTTTTCTTGGATTTTGAAAGTAAGTCTCTCAGCCCTTCACAGCTGGTGCATTTGAAATGGTATGAAGAGGGTTGCTTATACCTGCTGCAATGAAGGCTAGGGGACTCAGTTGCAAATCTGCAAATTGAAAAAGGGTTGCATGTGGTTTGTTTTTTTGCCTTTGTTTTTGTGTTTTTGTTGTGGTTTTTGTTGTTTGTTGTTTTTTTTTTTTCTCAGTAGGAGCCAAGCCACCATCATGCTACTGTGTAAATTTTCTTTTCTTGTGCTTAGTCATTTTGGGTCTCTGTGGTCAGTGATGTCCATCCATCTGCCTGCAAATCAAGTAATCATACGATGAAAAATTCTGTCAGTATGCCATGGTAATCTGTACTGAGCAGTTGTTGTCTGTAATCCTATCTTATATACCAGCAAGTATTAAATTATTCCTGTTTCTGGTTTATTCATTCATGGTGCAGTTAATGTATATTTTTACATCTAAAAGTCCGATGTAGAACTGTGTGATCTTCTCAAATCTTCTAGGCACCTTGTGCAAGAGAACTGGGGATTACCTGTGTTGGCATTTTCTGCACAATGAAATGATGCATCTTGATTCAGCTTTCTATAATGATCACCTCTCAAAATTATGGGAGCTGACAAAATTAAAACACTTTTCCTCTGTTGTCCCATCAGGTAAAATCCTGTAGTGTTACTACCATGTCAGTGCTGGCCAATGTGGTGTTAGCCCTCAGTATGGTACTCCTGCTCAGGACACTGGTGCTAAGGTGTACCAGGACAGAATTAGTCACAAGACCTCCAATTGGAGTTGTGCCCCTTTCTCAAAGGGGAGGCTGTGAAGATGTTGATGTACGTCACTTCTGACAGGAAAGCTGCATTGCATCTCTGGGATCACCAGCTGGACGGCCCCGAAGTGGGCTCTCCTCCCCCTGGCAAAGAGGGAGCCTGAAGGACGGGTCCATGCCTGATGGAACTCCTTGGTCTTCTTCCCCACCACTTCAATCAACTATATTTGGGCTGTTCCTTCTTATAAAGGAAAATTTTCTTTTCTCTCATTCTTGTCTTGGCAGGTACCTTAACATGGGGAACCTTCTTAAAGTTTTGACATGCACAGACCTTGAGCAGGGGCCAAATTTTTTCCTTGATTTTGAAAGTGAGAAGATGATTTTATATATCTATTACTCTTTGCCTGCAGTAGACTGCATTTGTCATGTACTAAATGTATGTTTTCACTTTGCCATCTTTCTAACAGCTTTGCATGTCTGAGCTATGAAAAGTTCAGTGAACTTCTGACAAAAGTAATAATCTCCTTTAAAATAACCCAAGTTTCTAAAAAGTAAAATCTTTGTTTCCAGGAATACTTTCAAACTGCATTTTGTGGCTGGAATCTGATATAGTTTCCTTTTTAAAACCAAAATTCTGTTTGGTTTTTAAGCAAAACTTTGAAAATAATTTTTAAAAGAACTTGAATTCTTTGAAGACATACTGAAATTGCAAGGAGATGTGTGTCTTAAAGAAGGACAAAATATGAAATCTAATTCCTTCTTTGTGCACTTCTAGTATGCCTCTAGATGCTGAATGCAGCGCATACTGGTTGGCTCACAACAGCTCTTCATAGCTCTCCAACATCGCAGTGGTAGAGGTGTGTTTGTGAACCTTGATTGATTTGGCATTGAAATTTGACAGTAAACCTCATCCCTCCTCAATTGGACGCTCAGCAAGTGTTATAGAGGTGAAATTGCTTTTGAAGATAAGAGAGGTAAACCTTTGATCAATGCCAAGAGTTCAGGAAGGTTCACATGCTGTTGGTATTTCTGCTTTTAGTTTTTGTTGCATGATATAATGTAGCCAAAGAATGGCAGGTAAGTGGTGTTGGCTGCTGCTGTGCATGTTTAATCACTTTATTTTGGGATGTGCTTTACCCCAGCTGTGCATCAACTAGCATAAAATAAGAAAAATAATGTTCAAAGTGTGTTTTAACTTGTAACACAATACATTGGAATACTATAACAAAAAATAAAATAAAATCAAAGCCCTACCATGAAATATTATGATACGGATAATACAAGATTCATTATCTTTTTTTTCTCCTAAATTATTTTTCAGTGAAATAGTGCCAATTGGTTTTATTATTTGCAAAATAAAAGAGAATGCTTGGAGAGATATGGTTATGCTTTAATATCGTTTGAAGTTGGAATGTTTCTAAACCCTCATCCTGTAGTGTTGATTTCATCATCTGTCTTTTCCTAACATTTGGTTTACTGAATGACAGTAGCCATACAAGTTAGCCATGAAAGGGAGATAATCAAGGGCTGTGTTCAAGAACTGGAAAACAAGACTTGTTTAAGAACATTTCAAGTTTCACGTATCTCCAAATAGATGTGAGGTAGTGAAGCAGGGAGAAATGGTGCAGGAGAATATTGGAGCACTGGAAATCCAGTTCAGTCTGCAAATACAAACTGTTTAATAGGATTATGCACTAGTTCAAGGTAGCTGAATACATGAGGCATAATTCTGGAATCATTTGTGATAACAATTGCTGCTAATTTTTTGAAAGTTTTTATCCATCACATTTTTTTAAATGCATGTTTTGAGCATGAACATGATTTGGCATGAGAGTAAGGAGGTTGCTGACATGAAATGTTTATACATGCAGTCAAATTAAGTGACTTACACTGTGGCTGAGTTGTTAGACTGTTCTTTATTCATTTTTAACTCTGTCCTATGTGTGTTTCTGCTGCTGTACTATGTACCCATACTTCTTTCTACTCTATTTCAGATAGCTTGCCTTGACAGAATCTTGACCTTGACACAGTCAAGATCTTTCTTCAAGACTTGGCACTTAATCTTGGGATACTTAAGATTATGTTTTTATGGGGAAGAGCAAGTAAGCTCTGTATTAAAAACAAAATTCCCAATGCTGTATTACCTGCCTGGCCCAATAATACACAGGCCTAGATGTTTTGTTTTTGAATCCAGGTATGTCCTTGGAATGAGCAGACCAGTTAAATGTTCCTTAGCACAATACCATAGCAACAGAATCTAATCTCTGAAAATCTTTATAGGAATACAGGTGCTGAATGTAGAAAGATTTAAAATTGGTTTCCAGGACTTTCAGATATTTAGCTTGGTGCTAGTTTGCAGTGATGTCAGTGACTGGCTATCAGAACACAGACAAAAAAATGATGTGATGGGCTGTGGGCTTTTCCCTGCATTAATGCAGGTTAAGCTCCTGCTTTCTTTGGTCATTCAATTCAGCTGTTTGAAACAAATAATTATTTTAAATATTCTACTCAAATCTTTGCAGTGCCACTTCAACAGCCAGGTACAACATGGGAAGCTTATATTGATGTCACTGCTGTCACAGTGCAATGCTTCTCAAACTTACTGGTGTGAATAGTAGCTAAGCTGCAGAGTACTTTTGCTTGCAGGTGGTGATCTCAAGCTAACAGTATGAAAAGTATTCTGCATTACCTCCAAAAATCTTGGCTAGGTTTCAGAGAAGCCACAAAGACAGTTTGTTCCTGAGTCTTTATGGTAGAGACACATAAATCATTTCATAGAATCACAGAATGGTTTGGGTTGGAAGGGACCTTTAAGATCATCCAGTTCCAATCCCTCTGCAGGGTCACCCCCCTCCACACCAGGTTGTTCTAGCAGGCTGGAATTTCTACCCTGTTGGTGAATCCCATCTGGTTTCTGGGATTAATGTGTTCTTCCCTGAGAAAAATACCAGTTTTATACCACACAGCAAACATTAATTGTCAACTCTTATTTTCTGTCCCTCCTTTATTCTGTAGGCCAACCAGGATGCTTTTAAGTAGTCACAAAATGTGTGTTTTTAGCATGCAACACGTTGTCATACTCTTACAGCGTTTAGTTCACATGGCAGCGTTGCTTAAGTCCAGTCTCTTGTCTTTAACATGTTACTGTGTGAGCATTATGAACTCTAAATGTATGTTGCATTCAGTGCAATGTTCTAATTAAATGTGAAATTTACTTCTCATTTGCTCAGAGGACATCAGTCTGCACTTATTATTGGATTAAAGATGGGAAAGCTGCCCTGAATAACCAGGGGTTAGCTCCCTTGGCAACGATGTCAAACCTCAAAACCGCTCAGCAAGCTGTGCTGTGCTTGCTCTATTTGCTCTTGTAATGGGAGTTTTTGCCAGGTAAAAGTAAAGCATTGTCGTGCAGTTGTGACATGAATTTACATTCTCTATAAGAGGAAAGGGGGAATCCCTGAAGTTACCACCTTCATGTTGCCATCTGGATGCCCAGCGTTGCTGGCTGTTCATTCTCAGTTATCAAGACAAGTTCCAGAAGCACGTCCATCATTCCTGGTCCGTGTCCTCCATAGTGAGGAAAACAAGTTTTACAGTCAGTGACTCAAAGTCCCCACAGCTTGAGTCCTCACGTACATACAAGTGTGTGCAAATGCTCCCTCCATCTATTGGAGTTTCCAGGGGCGCTGGAGAGGGCAGCCTGTCCCTTTTTATCTATAAATTTTCACAGTACAGTGTCTTACAAAGCCAATAGGCCAATTGTTCTGAGCCAGGCTGCACCACAGCTTGAAGCTTTTCCACACTGTATTTTTTTAAACCCATCTTAATCCATCTTAAGTTATTTTACATTCACTTCACAGTCCTATGGGCTTTACTTTTTATATTTGCACTGTTCTCTAACTAAAAATGTTGCTCTTCATTGCATGTTTTGGCAGTGAAGAATTACAGATGGGAGAGGAGCTTAGTTGGGACAAAACAAGATATAGTTTTGTCTGTTGAAAGTGTACCAAAATAAGATACATGCCAGAAGAAATAATCCAGTGTCTACTGGATTTTAAAATGTGGATCTAGGAGTTTGTTACTTATAAACAATAAAATATTTACCCCCCCCCCCCCCCAACAAATAAAGTCATTGGTTTAGGTTTCCTGAAACATTCTAGTGAAACAAGGTACAGTAATTGCCTTACACCCAAAGTGAAGCAGAGTTGTGGAGATAAAGGGGTTGCCGTACATAGCCAGCTACTCAGCAAAGACTTCATAATTTGTATTCAGAGGGTGGTTGTCATTTATTATAACTTGGAAGGTCACAGTATCACATCTGTTCTGCTTGTCTGCTGGTTTTGAAAAAAGGAAGAGCTCTTGTGAGCCCTTCTGCTGTGCAGCCCCTCATCCCCCAGTGCTGAAAAATGACTGTTCTTAGTAGGGAGGGTAAAGAAAAAATGTCATGAAAAATTAAAAAGGCAAGAGGGGTTCTCAGCGTGAGACAATCCAAGTGGCAAGTCTTGATTGCATTATTTAACAACACAATCTGGAATGCTACAGAGCTTCACATTGCAGTCTGTATTTCACTATAGCGTTTCATGTTTGTGCATGAACTGCTGCCAGTCAACTTGTGCTTACCTGTCTGCTATATTCCTTCATTTTTTTTTGTCTTCATTTCTTACAGCAGTCTTCAGCAGCTTTCAAAATTATAAATGTCACCTTTGTGATGATCCGAAAAGCACTGGCTACTTTTACTCGATGCCTAATCAATGTGGTGCTCTTGTAGATGCTTTTTTTTTTTTTTTAAAGGAGTGACCTGCTTAATTTTACCCATGATAATTCTTGGTGGTTCTCAAAATAGCACAGTTAAACTGTTGCAAAATCTGTGTGGGCATGTTTGCTAATAATGCCTACTCTGTCTATCTGATAAACCATAAAATTATGAAATATGATGCAAAAATTAAAACAAAATCCAGACAGGCAATGCATGTGAAACTTAATTTCTTCTAATGCAAACTCTGCTTTATAATGATTTTCTATTGTGTAACACTCATATTGGGATTTTTTCTTTTTTTTGACTTAATGTCTCTGACTTCCATCACCATTAGTGAGTGTTGTATGTATCGATCATAGAGAAATCACTTTCATTAGAGATTTTTTCTGGGCTTTTTACGACAAAATCTTGAGGCTGTATTGCCTGTAAGACAGCTTTTGTTTGTCCCTGTAGAAGGGTAGTAACAATAAATCCCTTGACTTTTGTTATTGAAAACCCTTGAGTTACAATATCCTGATATTTATTTAATATCATATTTTGCCCACTTAAATGGATGAATGTACTTTTTTTTTGTAAATAGCTGCACTAACAGCTTTGGTAATTAACCTTTTTTGTATTAGTCTAAGAGGACCTATCTTTAGAGCTTTCATCAGAATTTTAAAAGATAAAGTAAGGCAAAACAAGTCTGAGATACTTATACTGAAGTGGTTATGTTTAAACGTGAAAGCCTCTTGGTTTTCTGAAAACATGCTTCCTACTGAATGACATTTCTTTAAATGCATACCTATATAGAGCTTTCTGAAATAAAATCGAATATACTGCTGGTAAGACAATGTATCCTTAAAATTAAATGGAAAAAAAAAAAAAAAAAAAAAGGAAGAGAACGAGTTTACACTAGATCTTTACTCAACTGTGGTTTTGCAATTAGTGCAATAAAGAATGTGTTGTGAATTAATTATATAGAAGTAAAAGATACAGCAGCTCTTTTCCCTACCAATAACAAACAGGGGAGGCAGAAGAGAGGAAAAATAAGCTTATGCAGTAATCCTAGATAACCTTCAGGTGTTCATTTCCATTGTTAGTGTATGTGCAGTGAGTGTGCTAAGTCCCTTACTGTACACTGAGTTTGCAGTGCACCCTATGGTGAATATCAGTTATCATTACGCAGCACTCATAAAGGCATCCTGCCAGTGTTTCTTTTTTGAATCTAATAGTAAATCAGTCAGAGTAGACTCCAGGGGGATCTCTTGGGGTGCTAAAAGAAGGTAAAATATTACTAAAACAAATGCAATTTGCTCTCTTCTGGTGTTCCTAATACATAGCCATAATTAGTGAGTTGTATGAAGAATTTGTCCCCTAAGTGATGGTGTGCCTCTTGAATTCCATTATGTTGTTAAATATATATATATATATATTTAATATGTTCTACTGTTTAGATGCCCAACCTACAGAATCTGAAAAGGAAATTTATAATCAGGTGAATGTAGTGTTAAAGGATGCAGAAGGAATACTGGAAGACTTGCAGTCATATAGAGGAGCTGGCCATGAAATACGAGAGGTGAGCCAGAGCGTTACGATTGTGCACAGCCTGTGATTGTACACTGATCCTAACAGTACCACTGGAATTTAACTTTGCTTGCAGGAGCTGTCTTGGCAGAGCATGTTGCCTATTAAAATTGCTGTCTTGAAATTCTCCTTTGGAATGTTCCTTTTAACAGCAAAATGGATGTCACTTGTTTCAGCAGTATTAACGCACACGTGTAATAGCACACTTCTCAGAGGTTTTATGGACTTGTTGCAGTTGGTTTTCTTTATATTTCCACGTTAGCTTTTCCCAAGTTAGTAGTCATTTGACAAGCTCGTAGCATGACTTCAATGCAATGTTAAATAATGTCAACATCTTTTTCTGTGCTGAATGGAAAAGTCTGATGTGTGAGAATCCTAATGCGAAAGGCTTCTCAATACGTTCAAAGTGGCTTTTATTTACGGAAGGAGATGTTTGGATGGAAACGGTTTCTGAACAGCATGTCACTCCATTCTTACTTAACTTAAAGGAAAAGTAGAATAAATAGTCTTTCAGTTCCCTCTTCTTCTGGTTCAGATGGAAGAGTTGGGACTGCTTTGCTCCTAAAGTGCGGAGAATTCCCACTGTAGCGTTCTTTGAGAAACCTTACTAGACACGAGTCTCTGCTCGCTCCATGTAAATTGGAGAAACTCATAGCTATTCAGCTCATAAGTACCATGTGTTTTTATTCAGTCTCTCTGAAGTGGTAAGTTAGGTTTCATAATGGTAATTGTGTCACACACAGCCCTGGGAGGGGAGATAGCTTATTTCTTTCTTTAAAGAAAGAGCATGTTCAAGCGGAGGCTCTATGATCTGGCAGTAATGTGTGTCACAGCACCAAGGCCTGAAGTTCCTGTGCAGAAAGAGACTTGCGGCTGAGAGGAGGTAGACAAAGCAGAAGGAAGCTTTCTAAGGGCCAGAAAGAAGTGTGCTAAAACCTGTAGCCCAGAGCTGACTGAAATGGATTTTGGAGTCAAGGACTTGACTGAAGAAGGGAGCTAGGGAGTTACAAACTTTTTTATTTCTGTTTTCTTGATAAATTTCAGTTGCAGAAAAGTCCTGTTTCTGTCTTAAAAACTTGAAGAGATGGAATTCGAAGTGTTATCTGTCTTGAAAACTTACTGTAAAGATGAGGTCTACACATATATGCCTTAATGTTCTGACATATCTTTATGTTTCTGATTGTATCACAATGTCCCTACTGTAATATTTAGCCTGAATTTCATAGGGAATGTATTGTGGTTTGTTTTCTTCACCGTTTCTGAAATTTGTGATAGATAATATTAGAGAATTTGATCACTGAACTGCTTTGCTTGCAAGTGAAGTTGTTGATTTCAATTAACTACATCTGCTTATGTAAAGTTTCATAATCTGAGTAATTTTAACAGTTTATTTATACTTTCTCAAGGTGTTTTTTGTTTTGCTTTTCTATGCTGGATACTTACTTTCAACGCAAATGTTTAGCACTTTTTGGAACAGTCTTTGGTTAGTCTTTGGTTATCTCTTTACTAGAAAGTCCTCAGTATTTAGAAAACTAGATTACTTCTCTTAACAATCACCCTGCGTAGATTTTTTTTCAGTGAAGTCTCAGATACTCTTTATCTAAACATACTCTTTTCCTCTTTTTTTTCCTAATATAAGGCAATACAGCATCCCAATGATGAGAAACTGCAAGAGAAGGCATGGGGCGCAGTTGTTCCACTAGTAGGCAAACTAAAGAAATTCTATGAATTTTCTCAAAGACTAGGTAAGTTGAATGGTATGAACATACTTTTTGTCTTCATTAGGTTTGTACACTTGAAATACAGATCACATCCAGGTCAACCATTTGTTACAAGCTCTTATTGCAAGGTTCCTTCCATGCACTTTTTTTTGTATACCACCTTTTTCATGTGAAAGTAAACTTACTTCAGTGGATGCCTGAGAGAAGAGAGGATAGGAGTATACTTGACATCTCCTGTCCCTGTAGTTAGCCTGGGAGGGCACTAAGATATTGAGTGTGAGTTTATCTTAAAAACAGACAAATAAAACATGATTTCTGGTGATAGGTATCAATCTTGAATTTTGGTTTACCTTCTTGAAGATAACTTGCACGTTGCTGACAAAGCTGGAATAAAGCTTTTTGAAAAACATTTCATCACTGTCATTAGTGCTGATTGGGCATAGTTGCCATAGTGGTTTGTAAGTAAATATGATAAAATTGGCACATAGAAGCCATTCCCGAAGTCTAACATTAATTGCCGTGTGTTTTGGAAGATTGATATTTGAAGTCTAGTGTGTAGAGCATCGGGCACAAGAAGCAGGTGCAGTTGTATAATGTGAAACATTCTCCTCTTTTAAGAGGCAGGATTGAGAGGTCTGTTGGGAGCCCTGACAAGCACTCCATATTCACCAACACAACACCTGGAGCGAGAGCAGGCTCTTGCTAAACAGTTCGCAGAAATTCTTCACTTTACCCTCCGATTTGATGAGCTCAAGGTAAGAACTTGGTGTAATTTTATAAGTAGGTTAGAAAAGGAAAACAACTCTGTGAAGTTTGGATCACATTCTGTTCTAGAACAGAGCATTTAGGAAATATTCAAATGTCTGCTATGGATGGCTTGTTCACATGAACTACAGTTAGATAAAACTGGAATACAGAAGAAATGTTATCTTTAGACACTTGTTACATTTGCGTTCATCTTAGTTGTGTTTCTTCAGCTGAATTTGGTACATCTTTTGAGATGGTGCTGTTGTTACTGTTAATAGCTGGGCACGTACTTTCTTACTGATGTGAAAAGAACTTAGCTCGTAATACGTAATACCAATGTATTGATCTGATCCTTGGAATCAAATGTACAAAAACATCTTTTTCAACCTATTAATTTCAAATTCCTATTACAAAACCTCCTCCTTTTCTTGTTAGATCTTGTTCTGAAAAATCTGATATTTAATAAGATAGATTTCTTCTGTGTATCTCTATTTACAGTGTCACAAGTCTTTTATTTCAGGAATTTAAGTATTTTCTTTTTCTTGGTACTAAATTTTATGAAATCTTGTCTTTATATTTTTCTTGAGAAGTTTGTCTTAACTCTTTTCCTTCCATATCTGAATAGATGACAAATCCTGCTATACAGAATGACTTCAGCTACTACAGAAGAACTCTGAGCCGTATGAGGATTAATAATGTCCCAGTAGGTAACCTTTAGATGGTACGAAATGTCACCTTGTGCTACTACCTAGTTTTCCATATAAAGAAAAACTGAATTCTTCTTTCCTGCTTTCTAGGCAGAAGGAGAAAATGAAGTAAATAACGAGTTGGCAAACAGAATGTCTTTATTTTATGCTGAAGCAACGCCAATGTTGAAAACCTTAAGTGATGCTACAACAAAATTTGTGTCAGAGGTAAGAGTATACATTTATGGGTTGGATAGCATACGTAACATTTCCAGGGCCAGACATTGTTTTGAAAACAGAACTATCGGGCTTATTCTTGTATACAGAAATCCAACTTGTTTTTTTGGAACCTCAAGAAACAGGATGTGCCCTTCTTAGAAGCTGTAGAGGTGAACAGTGTCAGCTAGCCACCTTGTGGATGCATTGCAAAAAATAAGCAGGAAGTAATACAACACTGACAGTGAAAGATTTCCTCTAGTAATACCTAGAATACCATGCTGCCCTGCTTTTTTTTGGTACTTGAATCAGAAACTTCATAAAATTTCAGGGGAAACAGTTTGAGTTTGTGCTAAAAATAGGGAATTGCAGTGCGTCTTCCTTTTCTCCTTCTGGAGGCACTTGTCTTTTGCTGTTTAAAATCAACTAAGGTTAATGAGAGAATGGATCCTGAAAAGTATTCCAATGTTGTAAAGCATTCCTGTTTCACTGTATCTAAATATCAATGATACTTTAATTGTAGTGATTGTGTTCTGATGGACACTTGATAATTACGTTTTGTCTCAAATAGAATACACCATTTTTAATTTAAAAAACAGTACGTGTGTTAGAATACTAGTACAAAGTCTTATTTCTATTTCAATAAATTCTTTATTCATTCTTCTTTACACTTGAAATGCCTTGAAAAGTTACCTGTCGTGTTAAATGTTTGAGATTGAGATATTCTTCTGAAACAGTAAGTCTTCAACGAAGAGAAAGACATGCATCTGCTGCACATATTTGGCTACAGAAGACTGTCCTTAGAGAACAGATTAGATTTTTTTCGTTTAGAACTTCCTAAGCATCAATAGTCTCACTGGTGCATTTCTGCAAGCAAAACAGATATGGTAGGCTTCAATTTTGTAGACTTTAATCTTTAGGTTGCCAGCTTTCAATGTAATGTTTAAAACCCAGAACAACAAAAGCAAAAGTACAAAACAGAACTGTGCAAAAGAACTTAATATTACCATAGTTGTACTGAAGTTTTTTAATCCTCCATATTGCCATGCCAACAGATCAGTGACTTATGTTTTATATGATAATCTTTTACAACAATTGAAAACTGTTTATCTTCTTTTGCAGAATAAAAATTTACCAATAGAGAATACTACAGATTGTTTAAGCACCATGGCCAGTGTGTGTAGGGTCATGCTGGAAACCCCGTGAGTATTAATAGTACTAATATTGTGTATTAATCATATCCATGTTTTTAGATGTGACTTGTGATTCATAATGAGGAAAACTATTTGAATAACTAGGAATTTTGGTGTTATCTTTTTACCAACTTAGTTGTTAATCTTGACATGAAACTAACTTGTTTTATTTTGCTGGCCACACAAATCATATGGTCTACTTTTCTGAACAAATTAATATTTTAAAATAGAACAGCTATGAAAGCTAGACAACCTCTTGGTGGTACTTATAAATGGTTTTCTCATATATAATTCAGGAAAATACACCATTTGAGCATGATTGCCTAGGGCCTCCTAGAAGAGAGGTTATCAGCAACTGTGCTTAATGGTGTCTCCTTGCAAGTTGGCTTGGCTGAAGGCTGTAACAAAGTTACAGTGCCCTTGCCTGGGGATGAGATGAATTTACTCATAAGGACAGTCTATAGTCTAGTCCAAATTTGGGAGGCTTTGGGAGTATAAACAAAGTCAAAATGAGCTTTGTATTTTTTCTGTGATGGAAATCATTTCCCAGTAGTAAAACTGTTCAGACAAGAGGCACACTGTCAAATTAAAAGAAGATCAGATCAAATACCTCAGTATATATGTTTTGAAATACATTAACATCTCCCTGTGTTTATACCATTACTCTGTTTTGTAATGGTCATCTCACTCAAGAAAGTAGTGTACCATTGGGCTTTCATTTCCGTCCTGTCCCCACATCAGAAGTTTGAGTTGCTTGCATTTTAGGGAGTATAGAGGGAGAAAGGATAAGGCATGCTGAAAGGAAAGTTGGTGTGTTTTGTTTAAGTTTTTTTTGCGGGAGGGAGAAGCTTGAAACATAGCAACAGGGAGCTATTTTAGATTTGAGAATCTGTAACTTCCAGCTATTGCTTTCTAAGCAGTGGATTTGCTTTTGTGATCAGATTGCTGAAAGGAAAAAGGAAAACTCTCAGAACTGTTCTTTCTCTGAGGATTTATGGCAGGATTTTATAGACTATTCCTGCTCTAGAAGGAACTCAAAAGGATCATTGAGCCCAGCCTCTGGTTCCGCAAGGACCACCCAAAATTTCAGACCTTATGTCTGAGAGTGTTGTCCAAACTCTCCTTCACCTCTGGATGCTTGGGGATGAGACCACTGCCATGGGCAGCCTCTTCCGTGCCTGACCACCCTCTGGTGAAGAACCTCTTCCTGACACCCAGCCAGACCCACCCCTAGTGCAGATCCAGGCCATTTCTTTGGGTCCTGTTGCTCCATTCCCCTTGTGGGAGAGCTGTAGGGCACCAAAACCTCCCTTCAGTCTCCTCTGGGCTGAACATACCATAAGACTTCAGCTACTCATGTGTTTTGCCCTGTAAAACCTTCCCCATCTTTGCAGCCTTTTTTTGGACACTAATAGTTTTAGTCCTTCTTATGTTGTACCCAAAACTGCAGTCAGTACTCAAGATGAGGATGCACCAGAGCAAAGCAGAGTGCATAGTTTTTCTCTTTAAACTTATCTTGGGCATTATTAGGGATTACCTTTATTTTGTTTGAATAATTTTCCCTGTTTTTCAATTACAGTGAATATAGAAGCAGGTTTACAAATGAGGAAACAGTATCATTCTGTCTGAGAGTAATGGTGGGTGTCATCATACTCTATGACCACGTGCATCCGGTGGGCGCTTTTGCCAAAACTTCTAAAATTGATGTAAGTTTTTTGTTACTGAGTAATCTTTTGAGTATTTAAACTGTTTTGTAGGGGTTTTTTTCTTCTGTGTGGATTTTAATAGTAGCAGATGTGCCTTTTGGTTTGATAGAGAAAAGGTAGTGTTAACTGGGAACAAAACAAGTGCGTAAGCAGTGAGAAATCTAAAACATAGTGGTTTAGATACATAGTGGTTACTGTCAAGCCATTAAAAATCTGATGGAGTTTGGGTGGTGACTTGTAATACTTGTGAACAGTCATTTGTGTTGAAAGGTACAAATCAAAACTACTGAGAACAACGGTGGCATCTGACTTGTTCCTCACTCCTGTGAAATGCTTCATTCTTTGCTAGTCTTCAGCTCTAACTTGGTTTGTTTGGTAGCAGTCTGTGAAATGCATGCTGTTAATATATGCTGCTTAGTGGTTATTTGTTATGGAGTATTATCCAGTTGTCACATTGTCATTATTTCACTAGCTGAATTGAATTGTTCTCCGTAATCAATTGTAGGCAAAGATTGTGCTTACAATTACTTATTCTTAATATTGATACATTAGAGTTTCACATCAATTTTGTGTTGTCTAAAGATAAGCAGATTTTGAATGATCTGAGTTATTCAGTTATAAGAAAACATAATACTGAAAGCTTAATTCCTTTCCAGTATCAAGCAAGTGCACTCTTGCAGTTTTTAAGTAATTTTCTCACCGTGGCAAATAATATAGAACACTTCTGTAAGCTTACAAAGTATTTGTGTGGAAAAAAATCATCTTTTTTTGACTCCTAGATGAAAGGATGCATCAAAGTTCTTAAAGACCAGCCTCCTAACAGTGTAGAAGGCCTTCTAAATGCTCTCAGGTAATCTTTTTTTCTTTATTTGAAATCTTTGTAAATTTCCAGAAATTATCCAGGGTCTTCCTTTCAGCAGTGAAGTGTTTAGTGCTGGAGGTAAAAGGCGAATGTGTTTATTGCAGGCTTCTTTCCCATTGTGTTTGGACACATGGACACATGAAGAAGCTGCTGTGTTTTTGAGGCTATATTGTAAATTTGCTCTAAGATAGCTTTTTACATGCATCAGCTGCACACAGGGTAAGAGTGGGTGAAAAGGTGTGTGTGACAGAGCAGCAGTTGTACCTGAAGGCAAAACTGTTGACTAATAAGATAGTATTGCCATATCCTTGGCTGTGTGGTTTGATAATGTTAATGATTTTATGTATTATTAGCAGAGTCTGAGAGTAATTTAACGCAATTTTCATGTTTCACAGGTAGCTTCAGACATACAGGGTAGATAGAGGAGCAGTTTCTACTTGCATACGAGAAGCTGTTGCAAAGTATTTATGAAGAGGTACTTGCAGCGCGAGTATCAGTGCATTTGCTGTAGAATATACAAGACAAGTGTTAATGCATAAATTAGAGAGATGAAAAAGAGCAAGTAACTCACTATAGAAGTCTAAAAACTGCTTATTGGTCATACAGTTACATCTCTTCATGTTCTTCATGTTAATGTCAAGCATCAGAGGATTTGCAAGATAAAATGAAACATAATAGATAAGCGGAAGCCTCTCTTTTGTGCTTATGTGCTTTTTGTACCTTATTTATTAGTACAAGTTAACTATAATTCTGTATGGCTATTTGTGCATTTGAAATGTGGAAGCTTTAGTTAATGTTGCTCATTTGGCTTTTTCTTATCAGTAGTGAAACTGCTTTAATTTTCTTTTTCTTCATGTCCAGCTGTAGTAAGAAGGGAAATAATATAGTATTATAGGTGGTTTAATTGGGCAAGTTTTTTTCCAGATTATTAGCCAAAGAGAGCAAAAAAATCTGTTGGAAAGTTTTGAGTGTTTCCATGCCTACGTGGTTTGGTTACTCATTTCTGAAACCTCTTGTGATATTAATCACTCTTTGTGATGGTAATCAGTAGAAGAAGACAAGTTTCTAAAGAGAAAACACAATATTTATTTTCTGCCCAGCAAAGTACACAAAACGTTGTTCAGGTCCTCACTCCATTGTGTTCAGTTCTGTGAACTTGAGCTGTGCTGTCATGCTGACATTTTGCCACGCTAACCCATTTCATGCATACATAGATACTTCAACAATTCAGGTTTTTCATGTATGTGACGATTCACTGCGGTAAGATATTGAAATCCTTTTTTAAAATCACATTTGGAATTGTTGACTAGTGATGCTGAGCTGCTGTGTGCCTGCGTGGTGGAAGGGGGTTCAAGATGATGTCATGAGAAATTAAGTCAGTCTGACTCTTTGATTTTTGGAGGATTTGGGTTGGAAGTTTTCTTTTCTGAGAGGTAAATCATGGCTCTTAAAAGCAGATGGAAGGTAGTATGGATTTTGGAAAGCTGTCAGCTGTTTGGAATTAAATTCTTATAAGTATTTAAATCGTGTTCAGATTTTTCACATGGGCAAAATACCAAGTGTAATAACTTCTCTAGATTTTAGAAAAGCTTGGAGCTCTTGTGGGAATTATATATTCCCAAAATGTCCTGAAATCTATATTGATACTGATTTTCAAAACTAAGCCATTGTATATTCTGCTAGTGAACATGTAAAATATTAGTGCAGTTACAGATCACAGTCAAAGTGCTAATTTTAACCCGTTAAATATTTGAATTACAGAATAAGATTTTCTAATAAGATCAGGGAAAGGAATTGTGCACGGATTGCAATATGGAGTGTACACAGTACTTTAAAATAAGATCTGACAAAGTTTTTTGTGATGATAAAAAAAAAAAATACCCTAGAGAATTTTGAGGGAAAAGAAAGGAGAAAACACTTGTATCTGTACCTTTTAAAGATGTCATTAGCACAGCTAAGTAAACAGGGAATTAAGCCATTGCCTCTGAGGGATCTTTAAGCAGTTAGTTATTGGAAGTTGGGAAGAAAGATTTCAGAGGCATTGTTTTAGTTGGAGGTGTTGCCCATGAACTCAATCTCAGTGCTCACAGCTGGCTTTCACAACTGCACATGACTTTGCTGTGAAGTGGCATATGAGAATGAGCCACCATCCACCTGAGGCTTTTTTATTTCTTCTTGGTGTAAGGCTGCTGGAGTATAGATCTGATAACAGAAGCACTTCCAGAAGAGAAAATCTATTCTTGGCAACAGGAATAGGTGTAGATCAGTGACTGTAGGGGTTTCCATAGCATAAACTCAGTTTGTTCAGTTATGCCTCAGCCTGTCTGTACCGAAACAAAATAGTTTGTGTTTTTCTAAACTTGATTTTTATTTCTGCTTAGGTACACAACAAAGCATTTGAATGATGAGACTACCTCCAAGCAAATTAAATCCATGTTGCAATAACAATTACCTGGAACTCGCACCTGCTGTAGACAGACAGTATTCTGCAATGACTGAGATGCACAGATTTTTTTTTAGTGATTGCAACTACTATCTCATTCATTCTTGCTTTGTATTTTTTTTTCTCTCTTCCTGTTTTCCTTTTTTTTTTTTTTTAAATCACTTTCTTGTTCTTAAGTAAGCTCAGACTTCTTTTCTGTGCCAAATCAAAAATTACAATTCTGGAAAGTTTCTACATTTCAGAATAGCCATCCTAAGTGGCAGCTAATTATGCGTTGTATTTGGATTTCTCTGTACTGGGGAAAGATTTGTGACTTGAACTAAATATTTTTAAACTTGTGGTTTTTTCTTTTTTTGAAAAACTAATATTTAATATTGCTTCTTCTGCATGGCAAGACTGCCTACTTCTGCTATTTAAAAATCCCTTGATGACTTCATTTTCTATTGCAGCTTATTTTCATGTTGAACCATGAGGAAACTAAAAGCAGATTTGTTTAAATTAACTGTGTTTGTACAAAATGGTACCCAACACAAAGGTTTTTTTAAATGAGTAAAAACAGTTTTGTTTAAAAGTTACGTTTGCATTTTGACTCATTTTTGTAAGGATGTATGTTGTATGTTTAACCTTTAATAACTAACGTTAAACTGTGGTGTGTGCGTAGCAAAATTACGTATGCATGTTCATGTCAAATGATTGGCTGTGGATAAGATAATAAAATCAGCTTTCATTTTTCTAAGTGTGGTTTGATTTGCCAGTATTTTGAGTGAGATGTCTTCGTGCTCTTTGGATTTTTACAAAAAATAAATTTATAGATTTTATATAGTGAAAACATTGCTGTTTCATTACCAGTAACCACTAGAGTCTAGTGCACTGATCTTAAACCTAGCACATTTCAGGGCTCTTACTTTCTTTCCTGTTGATTCCTTGTCACCAGGTTTTGAGAGGGGAAGAATACTGTCCAATCCACGTAGGTCCCGGTGGTCATTGCTGAAGAAACTGCATTTTGACTGCCCATACTGGCTTGCGTAGCCATCAGAATAATGTTCCAGATCAGGCTACCAGTCTGGCTATTTCCATACCTGTGGTGGGGAGATTAGTTTCTCTTTCAGTGTATACTAGTATAAACTTTTACAAATCTGTAGATATTGGAACAGTGTGTGAATTCTGAGTTGTCTGAACATACTAAATGATGTTGCCTTGGTGCTAGTCCAGTCTTTTTCCAAAATAAGTGTTAAGGCTTGGTGAAGAAAATCAAGCTGGAATGGGAAAACGAGAAATGAAAACTGCTGGAGAGAATTCTTCTGAAAGATGGCATAGTTTTGCATCAGTGGGCATTAATGCACCTTGTCTGTTTTGTGGTTATGCTAAAAACAAATTGTCAGCATTCTGGAAAGGAGTCTTAAAACCTGCAGGCAAACAAGAACACTCTCAGCTTTATTTGCTGGACAAATGATGTAAATTTCCTGGCCTGCTTGCTCCAACTTTAACATACCAGTATGACCATGCTGAATGCCTTGTGGTTACACTTCTGCACCATCAGGAAAGATTTTCCTTTTATTTTTTTTTCATTTTTTTTAATGTAAAGGATTCTTTCTAGAAGTCCCGCCTAAAGAGAAAGCAAACCATGTGCTGTGTTACACACAGGAATAAAATTCTCTTGCTTAGACCTGGTACTACTCTCTAATCCTTCTGGCAGTGTCATAGTTGGAACTGTCTGAGATAGGACAGAACTTGGTTTGATTTCTTTTGAATTATATATTTCCCAGAATTGCATGAATGTTGAACTCTGCATGCAACTATCCATTGTGTGTATCTGAGAGGGTAACTGGCCTCCTGAGTTCATTGCTGATGGGGGGAAAAAGATGTTTCTTCTCAACCTCATTATGGAAAAAAAATTAATAATTGCAGGAACAGCAGTTGTTGTGTCCTGTTCTTAAAGCTTTTTGGAGAAAATGTATTTTCCAAAGCTTAAGTTTTAAGTATAAGTTGGGTATTTGACAGAAAATCCAGACTGGTTATTGAAGGACTAGCAACATAGATTTCCTTTTCTTTGTCTGCCTCGGTGACTATGGATGAAAACAATACAATTTCTTACACTGACTGTTTTGGACAGCTCTTCTTTTCTGCTGTCCTGCCAATATCTCTGCTTTTAGACATGGTTGTTCTTGTGGTCTGAGAATAATTGGAGCTTTCCTTTTTTTCCTCCAGTGTTTGCATTCTGCAGTTTCTCTGTGTACACAGCTGAGAAAGGAGATTACAGCTGGCATGCCTTCTGTTTGGCCGGTCTGCAACTCAGCGAGCTTCTCCCCTTGTGAGCCTTCCAAGAGAAGAAGATTAGGCCTTTGCTGCGTGAGGTATCAGCTGCTCACGTTTCTGGGCTAGCACTGCTGGGTGTTTGATACTTGAGCATAGTTGCATGTTCCTTGCAAAAGCACTCTTTCATCTTCTCCCATGTTTTAATTTTTCGTAGCCTGGAGACTGAGAGCACTAGGATGGCTGGCACGAGGTGCCTTCGATAAATGCTTTGCTCTACTTAGCTGTTTTCCTCTGATACAGGCTGGTGCAGCTGCCTGGGAGCTGCTCTGGGTGGACCCTTTCCTTATGTTCTTTCTTTGAGTACCTTAAAGAATTATTGCTATGTTCTCTCACATGTAAATTTACAGCCTGAGTGCCTTCTCTGATTTTGCAATTAGTACAAATTTCAAAAGTGTGTGTTGAAACAACTCTGATCTGAAACAGCTTCTAATATCAAAGTAGAGTTACCCTGCATTATTGTTGCAGGACTGTTTGCTGTGGCCTTTATCTTGGTCTTTTTTACTGTCCCCAAACTTCTTCCATACCTTTTCCCATTTTCCTGATGTGCTGCCCAGTCTAATGTCTGTTTGCTGATCAACAGCAGTGGCTCTCCATGTGGGTTTAGCAAAGCAAGAAATAAAGCAATGGCAGCATATATGCTGGCATATAATGCAAACATAATGTGGTATGCTAACAGGTGACTTCGTAGTGAATTGCTGTCACATGGGGTGTTTGAAACTGGGTGATGGCATCCTGCTTGGTGCTGTGGATCTGGGAAATGTCTTTTTTTCCTCCTGCTTCACTGCTAATAGTGTTCTGGAGGTTGGTTTTGTTGTTCTTGTAAAACAAAGGAGCCCAGTCAGGCTTATCACATCCATGGAAACTAAAACATAAGAAACGATGTACTCAGTGAACAAATCTAGCCAGGTAAAATCTGATCCTTTGTGTTATTTGAGTCTGAATAGTGAAATGTTCTGGTCTCCTTTGGTGGCAGCTGCACAAGGAAACTTGGAAAGTCAGATGATCACCTGCTTCGTATGGTGCAGTTTCCTGAACATAGGACAGGCAGCAGGCTAAAGTTTTCAGAGGGCTGCAGTTATTTCAGTGGCAGTACTCAAGTGTGTGGTAGCCTGGTAGCAAGGCACGGGGACTTGTTAGATGTTGGTGTCATTCAAAAACTGGCTGAGGGTGCACTCGATTCCACTGTCCATTTCACTGATGAAGATATTAAAGGGCATTGGTCCAGTCCCAGTACAGACCACTGACCACTTGTGACCGATCTCCATCTGGACATTGAGCTACTGACCAGTACTCTCTGGATAGGATCTTGCAACCAGTTCCTTGTTCATCTTACAGTCCACCTATCAAATCCTTTATCTTTCCAATTGGGAGAGAAGCTTATTGTGGAGGACCATGTCTAAAGCCTCACTGAAGTCCAGATAAATGACATCAGTGGGTCTTTGCTTGTCTACTGATGTGTTTGTGCCATTGTAGAATGCCATAAGGTTGGTCGGGCACGACTTGCCCGTGGCAAAACCATGCTTGGAATCCTATGTCACCTTCCTTTCTTCCATATACCTTAGCATAGTTTCCAGGAGGATCTCTTAGATGACTTTCCCTGGCACAGTAGTGAGATCAGCAAGTTGAGGTGAGATTGGTAGTTCCCTGGGTCGTACTTTCTATCCTTCTTAATAATGGATGTGACTTGCTTTTTTTCAGTCACTGAGGGATTCACCTGACTGCCATGACTTCTCTGATATCATCAAGAGTGGCTTGGCAACTACTTCAACCTGTTCCCTCAGGACTCTGGGATAGATTTACGGATGCTCAAGTTCCTCAGGTGATCACAAACCTGATGTTTGCGTACAGTAAGAGGGACATTGGTCCCTCAGTTCCCACTTTCCAACCCATTTGCTTCAGGGGTGAGTGAAGAGCAGCCACCAATGAAGACTGAGGCAAAAAAGTTTATGAGAACATCAGCCTTCTCCGTATAATCATCCTGCCTGTTTAGGGGGGGAGAGTGTATGCTTTCTTAGACTTTCCTTTTCTGGTTGATATGATATACCTGTAGAAGGTACATTACATTGCTTAGACTTCCTCATGTCCATTCTTCAGGGACAGCTCTTCACTCTCTATTCCTTTCTTGTTGTCTACCACTCAAAAAAAAAGAATAAAATAAAAAATAAATTGTTTTGTTTCTTGGTGTTCAGCATAGAGGTGTCTTGTTAAAAAAGCAATTTTGCAGTGCTGACTCAGGCAGTGCTGCTTGTCACCTTGCTTTAGTATGCTTTGTTGGAAATGCTGTAAGGTTAAAAAAGAAAAAATATTTGCTGCAGCCCTACCTGGAAGCAAAACACTTTTTTCTTCATCACAATTTATTTCCTTTAATGTATTCTAACTTTGATGTAATTATCTCTTGTACTGAAGGGGAACTCCTGGATGGCAAGAAGCAGCAGTGCTTTCTTTTGCTCTGCAGTACTGTGGCCATGAGGTCCCTGGTGCGGGTGGTCCTGGAGCTCATGAGGCCACTTTCACCTGCAACCTTTCCATTACTGCCCTACTGCTATCTCTGTGTGACACGTGAACTTCATTTTCCTTTAGTTAACAGTTGTGTTCCTGCCCTGGGGATGCTGTGCTTAATGCCTGAGCCTTATTCACAAGGCAACACAAGGCTGCAGGGGCCCTGGGTATTTGACAAATGTCATAGGGAGTCACAAAGTGCTGTGGCTGGTAGTGTTGGAGTGGGATATCAGAGAGCTGTGCCCATTCTTGGCTTCTGTCTTGTGATTCCTTGTTAGTGATGGCAAATTTTTGAGCCAGCGGTCTCCAGAGATGTCTCTACAGGCTCTCCCCTCCATTACCATCCAAAGCGAATCATCAAGGCACCAATGTCCACAGCTGCAGAAGCTCCTGCTGCGGATGGATATCCCTGATCAGGCCTTTAAAGTCTTCTATTTGGTTATTTTTAGCTGGTAACCATGTGCTTTATGAAGTGAGCTAGAGAGGGGAAGGCATGCTTTGCAGTCACAGCTGTCCAGTCCAGTGCTAAGTCACAGCTGGTCGGGTGGAAGCATGCATCTGTGCTGCTCAGTGGCCCATCTTTCCATTGGATGTATTGAAGTGATGCTCAGATGTTGGCTGAAGGGACAGCATGGTGCCTAGGCTTGGGGAAAGAGTCCATGTGCTCGTCCAGCTCATCTTGTGTGGCTGGAAATGTACCCATCACATGAAAAGGCATGAGATGTGCATCCAGTTACTGGGTGGGAAGAGATGTTGTGACATAAAGCTGATTCTGTGTAATCACCTGTGTGGTCCCTGATCAGCACTGGAGTAATTAACAGGATAGGAGTGCATTTGCAGAAAGTCTTGAACTTATTTAATGTGTAAGTCTTAACTGTGCTATTTCACAGCTTGTAAGCAATTGCCTTTATGATCTTTAGC